CTGTTTTATGCTGGGCCCAGTGACACTCCTATAATCCTAGTGACAGGAGTTTGAGGCAGAAGGATCACAAGTTGGAGGCAAGCCTGGGCAATTTAGTGAGACCTTGTCTCAAAATGAAAAATTAAAAGAGGCTGTGCATGTAGCTCAGTGGCAGAGCGCCCCTGGGTTCTATCCCTAGTATACCCCCCCCCAAAAAAAAAAAAAAAGAAACTGTTGTTTTCCCCCTTTACTTTCCATTTATACTCACTTTATGCCTCTCATTGGGAAATCAGTCAGCTTCCTGGACAGCACTAATTTCAAACCTTTCTTTGCAGAGATGCTGAGGATGCAATTTATGGAAGGAACGGTTATGATTATGGCCAGTGTCGGCTTCGTGTGGAGTTCCCCAGGACTTATGGAGGTCGGGGTGGGTGGCCCCGTGGTGGGAGGAATGGCCCTCCTACAAGAAGATCTGATTTCCGAGTTCTTGTTTCAGGTATGTTCCTTTCAAACTTGATGAAATGATACATACACCACTTAGTGTAGAGTCTGGCTTCTAAGGAATTTAGCGGTTATTCTTCACTGCATGGAATATGTGGGCTTTCTTTTCAGTAACCTGTGCCAAAGCCCTGCTCTGGCCTGCCAGTGAGGAAGGTATCCTGCAAATGATATTGCAGTAGTAGTTCACTCTGGGTAGAACATAAACCTGATTATAAAGGAGTTACCTAGTGGTGATAAACTTTGATGTTAGAACTTTGAAGTTGATGTTAGAACCCTTTGAGTTTCAAATCTGAAGATGTTTTCTTTAGGAACATACCTTGTTATCAGACTTGCTAGAAAGACATCACAGGAGCCAGACTGGAACAACTTACTCAGCCTTGGATCCTTAAAAAAGGCGAGATTTTGTGGTGATTTGAGAATTATATTAAAAACAAACCAAAGAAAACTCCACAACCAAATCTTACTATATTGGAAAGTATGAAACATTTCTGTTTATCAACAAGTGATAAAATTCTTAGAGGTTTATGTATCTTTGAAACATTAACACAATGGTAAAGACCCAAGGTCCTCTACACATTGCAGAGAAATATTAGGGCCCTAGTGGAGTGAAATGTATTGAGGAACCTGGCACCTTTTTAATATGTGAATGTTCTACAATCACAGCCAGTTACCATGTGCTTAAAAGTGATACTCAGTATCTGCCTATCTTGTGTCCCTTTGTAATTTTTTAACCCTAGAACTCTATTCCCTCCTTCAGGATGTCATACATTATCTTTTTTTCTCTCCATGCTGCTCTGAAATCCTGCTTAGAAAACTATTAGGAAATGGCTGCAGTCCTGAGCTGTGAGCGGTAAACACAGCCTTTGAAAGCAGGAGCACATTTCCCTTTCATGACACCAGGTAGGGTTGTATGACTCCCGACTAGTTTTAGCGTCTGAGTATTACCTTTCCCCCCACTGTAGTGAAGAATGTTGGTGATCTCTTAAGAGGTACTTTGTTTGGTTTGTCAGTCACTTGCTCCTATGAGAAAACAAACTTTTTTAGATTTTTGTTGTTAAACTTCAGCTACACTTTGGTTATTTTGTTGGCTTATTTCAAAATTTCCATGTCCTGGGAAAACCTGCAGGCAAGAAATAATTGGTACTGATAAATTTCATAATGGGAAGTTTTGGGAGTTTGACATTAACTATGAAGAACAAAGAAAGAGGCTATGAATTTTGCTCTGTTGGGAAGGTTTGGTCTCTAGAAGATAAGACTAGGACCAGCTTCTCAATTACCACACATGTATCTCAGTGCTTTTCTCTGGTTTTGAGTCCCTTATCAATATTTGCGATTTGGGGACCCTTAGGAATTAAGCAATTCATAGAGAAGAGACCATAGATATTGCTGACTCTTATCAGGGCAGTAGACATGGCTGAAGGATGTGGGTTCTTATGTTTTCTGTGCCTAGGACTTCCTCCTTCAGGCAGCTGGCAGGACCTGAAAGATCACATGCGAGAAGCTGGGGATGTCTGTTATGCAGATGTGCAGAAGGATGGAATGGGGATGGTTGAATATCTCAGAAAAGAAGACATGGAATATGCCCTGCGTAAACTGGATGACACCAAATTCCGCTCTCATGAGGTAGGGCCTTCCTTACCTTCTATTTCTAGGTCATTCGACCCAACTCTAACCTAGCAGTAGTACTAACAGGCTATGCATTTGCTATTTGTTTGATGATCTCACATTACCATTAAAGATCTATTTTAAGTGAAAAAAAAAATTGCCATGCCTAAAATACTGATGCAGTCTATCATAATGTGGTGGATTACCCTGTGATACTACCCCCTGTACCACTGGCTCAAACAGCAATTTCTCTTATAACTGTCCCTCTTCTGTGTCTAGTCTGGGATTTATAGGCCAACCTCTTCCCTTATTAGTACTGCTGACAGTACAGTACTGAGTTGTTACTTTACTGTTCCTTTTCCATTATAGTGCAGGTCTCTTTTGAAACTTGAGCCACCTTGCCATCATGTTGTAGTAGCCACCTCATCCTTGAGGCAGAGTTCCTGATGTTCTTCCTTTAAGGAAGACAGCTGCTGCTTTGGATCTCTCAATTTGATTCAAGTGGTGACTGTCCCTTTGGTACCATTTTGCCCAGACACCAGACTGTCAATTGGACATTGACCTTCTTTTCTGGTTATCTATCCTGAGTTGCTATGGTGTTTGGGGATACCTGGGGAAGATAGATCTCTAGACTCATTTCTTTTTCTGAGAATTCATATAATTCTCTAGTTTTATGATTTGGAGGCTGGTCCTTGCATGGCTTAACAATGCTTTAGCTCAGACTGTCATTTACAGCTTGAATTTGGAAACAAAACAGTACCTGGTCCTCCCTATAAGGCAGGGCTTCAATAAGGGTAAATCCAATGACTGACTTTTACCTAATGTGACAAACAATTGGTTGAGAACAGAGGGCTGAGAGATAGTCCAGCCTAGATATGATTCTTCTTCTGGTTATTAATTTTTTAAAAAATATTTTTTAGTTGTCAATGAAACTTTATTATTAAATTTGTTTATATATGGTGCTGAGACTTGAACCTAGTCCCTCACACATGGTAGGCAAGTGCTGTACTACTGAGCCACAACCCCAGCCCCTGGTTATTAATTTCTTAGATTGTGTCTATGTGTAAAATAGTTTCATAATAACCTGGTCACTGGACTTATCAGGAAGCTAATCTAGGAGGATAACGAGAGCATTAGCCCAGGACCTAGGAGGTAGTAAACAGGAGGTAGCTTCTGTAGATGCACATTTAAAATGTCAAATTGCCACTTATTATTTGTGTCAGTCTTCATTTTCTTCCTTTTTGAAATGGGATAGTAAGAGTACCTACCTCTATAACATTGTGAGAATTTAATAAGAGAGCACTGCCAGGTATGGTAAGAGCTAAGGACTTATTGTTAGGCAGCTGATTAGATCTTGGTTTGCTTATTCTTCTGGCTCTTATTTTTATTTTTTTTTCTTTTCTTTACTCTGTTCAAATTTCAGGGTGAAACTTCTTACATCCGAGTTTATCCTGAGAGAAGCACCAGCTATGGCTACTCACGGTCTCGGTCTGGGTCAAGGGGCCGTGACTCTCCATACCAAAGCAGGGGTTCCCCACACTACTTCTCTCCTTTCAGGCCCTACTGAGACAGGTGATGGGAATTTTTTTCTTTATTTTTTAGAAGAACTGAGCTGCTTTGTGCTCAGAATCTACATTCCAGATTGATGATTTAGCGTCTTAGGAAATTTTTTTAATTTTTTTTTTTAAGGAAAAAGAAAACTACATAATTTCTACCAGGGCCATATTAGCAGTGAAATGTTTAAACTGCAGAAATTGTGGTTTTGGTTCAGAAACAAGTTGTATATTTTTCACCCCTGATTATGGGAAAAAAATCAGTGCTATGTCTTTGTGGGTTGCTCTGCTATGGAGATCAGCAGTTACTGTGACTGAGTCGGCCCATTCTGTTTAGAAATATATTTTAAACGTTTAGTAATTGACATGTGTTGTTGTCCTTGATTAAGTACATAGATTTCACCTAAGAGGTACACTGGTTTAAGGAAAAAAAAAAAATCATTGAGTCATAGGAGCACCTTGTACCAAATTTGTTTTTGTATTTTGATGCTGGGAATTGAACCTAGGGGTGCTTTTACCACTAAGCTACATCCCCAGCCCCTTTTTATTTATTTTGCTTAGGGTCTTTTTAAATTGCTCAGGCTGGCCTCCAACTTGGGATCCTCCTGTGTCAGCCTCTTGTACCCAGTTGGTAAGGAGTAGATATAGATTGTTTTACTTGGGGATGATAGTTGCTCTGATAGTGGTTTGAGAACTTCAACCTCAAGTACAGATTCAAAATTCTAATTCAAGGCCAACCTTGTAAATTAAATTGCCTAAAAGAAAAAAAAAGGGAGCATTGCAGATAAGGGAATGGGAAGAATCAAAATGCCCAGGGCTTTTTTTTTTTTTTTCCCCTCTTTTGGTAGCAGGAATTGAGCCCATGGTTGCTTAACCGCTGAGCCACATCCCCAGGCTTTGAACTTGGGATCCTCCTGCCTCAGCCTCCTGAGCCACTGGGATTACAAGTGATGGCCACTGCAGCCTGCTCCAGGACTATTTTTATTTTTATAAGTTTTTTTTTTTTTTTCCAGAAAGAGAATCTAGTAACATATTTGCATATAATCACTTTGTGGGATAGAAGAAGGTTTTAGGTTAAGAGTTCAAGCTATAATCTACTTTTTTTTTTTTTTTTTTTTTTTTTTAATTTTGAGACAGGACCTCACTAAGTTGCTGAGGGTGGTCTTGAACTTGTGGTACTCCTCCCTCAGCCTCTTAAGTGGCTAGAATTACAGGTGTGTCACCACACCCAGCCAATTTGAACACTTTTAAGACCTGAGCAGAAAGTTAGTCCTCTTTTTCTGAATAAGGTGAATACCCAAGAACAAATGTAAGTACAACTGGTAAGGGAAAGATAGATGACAACTCAGGTTGTCACAGTAATCAGATACTGTCTATCAGATTTTTATTAATATTCTACCAGAGTTTTTATATATATATATATATATATATATATATACAAGTTCACTTATATAGTTTGGTAGACAGTTTTTTAGGAGGAAATAATGTTTTCCATACTGAACAGGTCTGCAAGCAAGTACAAGATTGATTTCCTTGGAAGCTGACTTGTTCTTTACCATCAGGAATTCAGTGCCTTGTTTTGGCCAGATTTTTTCCAGTTCTGTCTTCAGAAGAGTCAGATACTAAGAAATGCTTAAACATCCATTTTTTTCAGGTGATTAAAAAAGTGGGAACGATAGGGTTCACAGTAACAAAATACCATCATTGCTCTTCCACATGCTCATGGGGTATCCCCTTTCCAGAATGACTACTCGAGTCTGTTGGGAAGGGCAGTTGTTCACCCAGCTGTGGCAAAGAGATATTACCTGTTTGAAAACAATAGGAAAGAATGTTACAGCTGAACCTGCTATCTACCTGGCTCTAGCCAGATCTAACTAATCACTTGTTTTTCATGGAAGTAAGTGTGGCTTCAATCCCATTTTCCTGGGTATCTGAAAGAATTACAGTTATAAGTAAAGCCAAGTTAATGCACACTTTTCAATAAGGAGTAGAGATAGACTGCATTCATTTTGTTCCAACAAGTGGTCTGAAGCAAGGTTTGTTTGGAAGTTAGTACGTATTTGATCAGTAATCATCTGCTAAAGCAGTGACAAGTTTATAAAATTTCTTGTCTCTAAGCGAATCAAAGGCATGTTTTAGAATTAGGTCGTAAGTTTGCTAGCCTGCCTTTCTATCCTTGTGGCAACCAGAACTGTCCTAACCTGGATGGTCTTAATGAGTCCCTTGAAGAGGTAACCTCTGCACTGACTAGAGCTGATGTTTTATGTGGAGGCTGCCCAGAACGCTTCTCCCCCAAGAGATGTCCCATTCTCAATTGCCAAAGGGGTGCAGCAGCTCTGAGTACTGACACATATGCACAGGAGATAAAAACACTCAACCTACCCATGATTCTGGATTTTATTGGCCTGGAGTTCTTTTAAAGCTCCTACAGTAAGGTTAAAGATGATAGTCTCCAGGAATCTGGCTTGTAGGTATGTTTTATTTGGCCTGCATAGTACTTCATTGTTTTTAATTTGAATTGATTGCCAACAATTAAAATTTTGCAAATATCTTACAAAAATGCCAGATACCCACATTCTCTGGAAAAATGGGCTCACATTCCTGCTTGATGGTCTCAAAAGAAGCAGTGAATGCCAGCTATTTCCTTAGGCAGTGCTTCAGATTTGCCACCCACCATAAACTCCCAGTCCTGTTTTGCTGTTTCCCATTGCTTACTACACCATAGAGTAAGTATGATACCTGGACTCTACTGCCCTCCTAATGCCACACATACCTGGGGGGGCCACAAAATACTCTTCCACCACATGATGGGAGTTTTGCAGTAGTTCTTCAGCACAGTTGCCTTCTGCTATGTTGTCGGATCTCAAGTACAGACATCTACAAAACCCAGAAGCTCAAAGTTACCATTGGAGAGAATGGGGCTTCTAGGGCAGTGGACAAGGTCAAGAACGGGAGAACAAGGGAACAGCATATTGATTTATGGTCACTGCTCCAGGATAAAGGAGCTATGCTCGGGAGTAGACCAAATATTTCATCTACAGTTTATAGATTCTCCCAACAACTATGAGGTAAGTGGTAATTAATTTTCAGAATCTATTTTTCTTTGCCACTGGTACAAGGAATTGAACCCAGGGTCTCACGCAAGCTAGACAAGGGCTCTAGCACTGAAATACATCTCCATCTCTTCTTTTTAAATTTAGAGATAGGGTTTTGCTAGTTGCTGAGGCTGGCCTCCAACTTTGGATCCTTCTGCCTCAGCCTCCAAGTCACTGGGATTACAGGTGTGTGCCACTCTGCCTGTCCCTAATGGGATTTGAATTTTGTCACAGAAGGGCAGGAATAACATGAATACCTGGGCAAAGGCTGCCTGTATATGAAGGCTAAGTTAAAAGATTATTTTAGGAAAGGACTAAAAGAATCCTGGCATCCATCCCAGAGCTAGAAACAACAAATATTTACTCATACTACGAGAGTTGGTCTTAATCTATCTTAACTGTGTCCTTGAAGAGTGATCTTATCAGACCTTAAGTTTGTTCAAAAAATGAGGGCTGTGTGTTGGTATTTTTAATGGGATTGTGCATTCATTTAAGACAACTTGGAGAACAAAAATAAAAACCACCCATAAAGGTAACCACTGGACTTTCTTTTTTCTTTTAATATGTCTTTTTTTTTTTTTTCCCCGTGTCATACTGGGGCTTGAAACCCAGGTAAAATGCTTCATGATTGCTGGGAAGATTGAAAATAATGGCATTAAAAATAAGACCAGGGGCTGGGGATATAGCTCAGCTGGTACAGTGCTTGCCTTACGTGCACAAGGCCCTGGGTTCAATCCCTAGCAGCCAAAAAAAAAAAGTGGTGGTGGGAGGGCTGTGGCTCAGCAGTAGAGTGCTCGCCTCACACGTGTGAGACCATGGGTTCAATCCTCAGCACCATATAAAAATAAATAAGTGAAATAAAGGTATTGTGTCCAACTACAACTAAAAAATAAGTGTTTTTAAAAAAATTAGAACTGGGGTAGTGGCTCAGTGGTAGAGCCCTTGTCTAGCACTTGTGAGGCACTGGGTTCAAGTCTCAGCACCATAAATAAATAAAGGTCCATCAACAACTAATAATTTTAAAGGAAAAAAGATCTGATATTGATGGGCCCACATTCCTTGCAGTAAAAAGTGGGTGCTGAATGGCATGTTCAATTTTCAGAAAGAGCCAGTAACCTACTATACCTTGGTCTCCATCACTTATTTGAAGTATTTGAATGTTCTGACAAAGATTCTGCTATCAACAACAGAAGCTTAAAAGCCACTGCTTCCCAACAGGTTTAATAGTAATTGATTTGTTCAGTCATTGGATACAGGTTTCCTATGTAAGTGAGATTCCCAGGAAAACAAAATTCACATCTTTAAATAAATACCACGTTTCCACTTAATTACTATTTACAGTGAAGTCATTCCTAATAGATACACACCTTCCCCATTTTCTTCTTCATCATGTGCTAATGAAACCAGCACCTCTTCTAGTGGCACAGCGAACCCCTTCATTTGGCAAATTGCTTAACTTTCCTGTACACCAGGATCTTATTTAAAACAGAAGCAAATGAACTATTCTGGTCTTTATTGTTTTTGTGGTATTGGGGATTAGATGCTGTGCCTCAGATCAGTTATTGCTTGAGAAAGGTCCACTTCCTTTCTCAATTAGAGTTCTACAAGATAAGTTAATATAGGGGCTAGGGTTGTGGCTCAGCGGTAGAGCACTCATCTGGCACGTGTGGGACCCTGGGGTTGATCCCTCAGCACCATGTAAAAAATAAATGAGTGAAATAAAGGTATTGTGTCCAACTATAAAAATAAACATTTTTTTTAAAAAAGATAAGTTAATATAAATACTCCTAAGGCATCCATTTTGTGAATAGATTGATTTATTTCCTATGCATCGGGGCTAACATTAGTTATGTACTATTTTTGAAAGAAATGAAGAAAATACTTCATTTTTTTTTCTGTGTTCTGATCAGATGAGGAACCCTGGCAGAGTGCTCACCTAGCGCATGCAAGACCCTGGGTTTGATCCTCTGCACCACATAGAAATAAATGAAGGCATTGTATCCAACTACAATTAAAAAATAAAATAATTAAGAAAAAATTCCCTGCCCACTAAAGCTCCAAAACAAATCACACCAGAAGCTGAGGAAAATACTACTAAAAAAACAACAACAAAAAAAACATGGAAAGTGCTGTGATAGCACAGAATAAAGAAAAGTGACTCATTTGTGCTTCTGCTGATCCTTGGGCTAGCTGATGGGCCAGTTCTGCCAAAGCTCTTTTTATTTTTATTCCAGGGGTGGGGGTAGATTAGTAGTGGGGATTGAACCCAAGGATGCTTCACCACTGAAGTACATCCTCATCCCTTATTTTGTTTTGAGACAGGTTCGCAAGTTACAACATAAGTTGCTCAGAGCATTGTTGAAGTTGCTGAGGCTGGCTTTGAACTCGAAATCCTCTTGCCTCAGCCTCCTGAGCCACTAGGATTATAGGCGTGCACCTAGGGGTAATGAGAGAAGAGGATTCTCTAGTACCTGTGAAATTCTGAGCCTTTACATCTAAAAACATGTCTTTCAAGGTTGTGATAACTGAGATAATGCATATAAAGTCCCTAACATTAAGCACACTAATGCTTTTTAGCTCAAACCAAATGATATGTTATTAGTATGCAAAGAAATTTCTCTTGGCCAGTCAGGACTTTTACACCTAGTATTGACTATTGCCTAAAACCCTGGTGAATACCTGTCTTCACTTTACCAGGTTCTGTTTCAGATTCAGTCAGTTTGTTCAAAAATTTAAATCCCACAAATATCACATTTAAATAATAATAATTGTTAACCCAAACAATTTAAAATTTATGGAGACAGTGCAGGTCAGTAACAGGCCAAATTGAGATTCCAGCTGCAATTTCCTTGTTATCTTTTTCACAAACTCTTTCTAATGGAAATGTAATAGATTATATCCACCCTGTCCTCTTCCCAGCTGCTATGCATTTCTTTACAGTTACACACTGGTGACTTAGGAAATCCTGAATTCTTTGTTCTGTTTTCTTTTAACAAGGATATTAGTAAAGAACATTCATTCAGCCAGGTGCAGTGGTGCACACCTGTAATTCCAGCAATTCAGAAGGCTGAAGACAGGAAGGTCACAAGTTGAAGGCCAGTCTCAGCAGTTTAGCAAGGCCCTAAGCAATTTGGGAAGACCCTGTCTCAAAAAGGACTTAGGAGGTGGCTCAGTGGTAAAGTGCCCCTGGGTTCAATCCCCAATACCAAAAAAGAAAAAAAAATTTTCATTCAGCGAAAATGGAGTATCTACTCAGTGCTAGGCATTAAAAACATCAGGAGCAAAACCAAATATGCTCCCTGCATGAGCATGAGGAGAGGAGTAGACAATCAACAACCTTCATATAGATGTATAAATACAAGTGATTATCAGCTTATTGAACATCACGAGAGCCACATGTCCTGAAAAATACCCTAACTCATTATGGTTTGTATCTGGAATGGTCACCTCAAGTTTCATAGTTTCAGGCTGGGACTGTGGCTCAACTGTAGTGCACTTACTTGCCTGGCATGTGTAAGGCACTCAGGGTTTGGTTTTCAGCACCATATATAAATGAATAAAAGATCTATCAACAAGAAAAAAAAAATTCATGGTTTTGGGTGGGGTTTTTTTTGTTTGTTTTGTTTTTTTGTAGGGATTGAATCCAGGACGCTTTTCAAAATAGACTGTTTTTAGCTGGGCACAGTGGCACACATTTCTAATCCTAGCAAATCTGCTCAACTCAGGAAGTTGAGGTAAGAGGGTCAGCAACTTAATGAGTCTCTAAACAATTTAGTGAGAACCTGTAACAAAATAAAAACTAAAAGGGGCTTAGGATGTAGCTCAGTGGTAGAATATCCCTTAGTTAAATCTCCAGTACCCCTTCCCCAACAAAAAAAGAATATTTTTATTTTTAAGTTGTATTAAGAGTTAGCAACAATTGGTGGGTAGAAGCTATATCCTTTTTGTATTCACAAGCCAGTTTGTCAATGACCTACCCCCGAAAATTGTACTACACTACTTCACTAGGTATTATTCTTCCCCCTTAGGCCTTTATGTTTGGGGTCCCTGGTATAAAATATATATAGTATAAAGTTTCCTTCCACATTCCCACCTTTTTTTTTTTTTTTTTAAAGACCAGTTTCCTGTGTTGCCTAGGCTGACCCTGAACTAGATTCAAGCAAAGCTCTAGCCTTAGCCTCTGGAGTAGCTGGGAGTACAGTGTTGGCCACCACATCCAAGTTCCTGTTTCCTTTAAAACTGGTTAACAGTATTCTTGTATAAAGAATATATAGAATATAAAAATAGGTTACATAAAAGCATCAAATACTCTAATTTTTGGCCTTTTTATTGAATGTATCTTGGGGACTTTTTTTTTTTTTTTTTAAATACTAGGGAGATTGAACCCAGGGGAACTTAACCACTGAGTTACATCCCCAGCCCCTTTTATTTTGAGACAGGGTCTCATTAAATTACTTAGGACCTCACTAAGTAGCTGATACTGGCCTTCAACTTGCAATCTTCTTGCCTCAGCCTCCTGAGCCATGCACTACTACATCTGGCTCCTTTTTCTCTTTGGGGACAGGGTCTCACTAGGTTGCCTAGGCTGGCCTCTATCTTGTGATTCTCCTGCTTCACTCTCCCCAGTCACTAGGATTATAGGTGTGCACAACCGCACCTGGCTTATTTTAATTTTTTTCTTTTTCAGGTCCTGGGGATAGAACCAGGGGCCCTTACCCCTGAGCTACATCCCAGCACCCCTGCTTTTTTCTTTTTAATTTGAGACAGGGTCTTGCTAAGTTGCCCAGGTTGGCCTCTAACTTCCAATCCTCCTGCCTCAGCCTATCAAGTAGCTGGTACTACAGGTGTGCACCACCATGCCTAGCTTTTCTTGGAGACATTTCCATATACACAGTTACTTGACTTATATGCTGATAATATGTCATATAAATAACATGTTTCTTTTTTTAGGGAGGTAGTGGGTATTGAACCCAGGGGCATTCCACCACTGAACCACATCCCCAGCCTCTTATTTTTGAGGTAGGGTCTGGCTAAGTTGCTGAGGCTTGCTTAGAATTTGTGACCCTCCAGCCTCACCCTCCCAAATAACTGAGATATCAGGCAAGCACAACTCTGCCCAGCTAGTTAAGTTACATTATTTTGAACAACTGCCAAATATTACATTGTATGATGATGTATTTGTTATTTATTTAGGTTGTTTATGGGTTTGGCTTGGTTTGGGGTGTTATAAACAGTTTTGCAGTGGACACTGTGCATTTTTATTTTTTTCTTTCCCACCCCCTGCCACCAACTGGGAGTTAAACCCAGGGCTTCCCAAGTGCTCTACCTTGGAGCTAGATTCCCAACTCTTTGCATCTGTATCTTGATGGACTTTTACATATCTTTCCATAAGAAAACATCAGGTCAATTTGTACATTGTACATTTAAATTTTTGAAACAGTAATAACACTAATCAAGGCAGAAAATTAGCTCACATTGTAATAATTAGAGACATAAATCAACAAAATATAAAATGTTGGCTAGGGAGAAAGCTCAGTGGTAAAGCACTGGCCTAGCATGCATGAGGCCCATCACCACATAAATATCACAACAACAAAAAAAGATTATATATGTAAAAAATAAAATGTCAAGGAAACAAAAGGATAAAGAGTGAGCGGTTGGAAGGAGAGAGCAGTTGCAGCGGTGAGGAAAGGCTCTCTTAGAAGAGCTGAGAATCAAGTGCCGAGAAGGAGAATGCTATGCAACGATATGGAGGCCGATTGGTGGGTGGGGACAAATGCAAAGATCCCAGGGACGGAATGAACTTGACTTAGTGGGAAAGCAGTTAAGGAAGCCAGTGTGTTTTAATCCCAGCGGCTCAGGAGGCTCGCAAGTAGACAGCCTCGGCAATTTAACAAGGCCCTGAGCAACTTAGCCAGACCCTTTTTTTGAAAAAGGGATATTTTTTTGAAAATAACAAAGTGCTGGGATTGTTGCTAAGTGGTTAGAGCCCCTGGAGTTAAATCTCTAGTAGCAAAAAACAAACAAAAAAAATAAATAAATAAAATAAAGCCGGAGCGGGGCGGTGTATAGAGAGGGAGGGACTAGTATGTCAGATTGGTTAGGCAAGGACTAATGTAGGGACTGAAAGGTGATGATGATTAACAAGCAGTTCGGATTTCGCCCCTCCGTACGCTGGGAGGACTCGTGGATTCTAAATGGGAGTGACAGGATCCATAATGAACAAAGCGAAGAACGAAGCCACTTACCAGCGGGGTGACAGTGGGCAAACTCCCAATCGCGCTACAGCTCTTTCACCCTCTGAAACGGCACATTAACCGCCGCCACAGACCGCTGTGAAGGCCCACAGTCAAGCCTTCGGAAACCGCAGCGACTTTACCTGTCCTCCAGTACCGACTCCATGGGCTCTACCCCGTCAGTGTCCACAGCGCGGAGCCGGTCAGCGAAGGCGACGGCTTTCTCCAGCCGCACCACCGCCTCGCGGCTGCCGAAGTCCACCAGCGCTAGACGTTCCAGGTGCTCAATCACGTAGGCCGTGATCCGCCCGCTTCCCTGAGGATACGGAAGGGACGTGGATCACGGAGAGGCCGAGGCCATCTCTCAGCCGCCCTCCTAGACGCCCCTGGCCTTTACCTGAGAATCCGCCTGGCAGGTGAAGCCCCGGCGCCCGCCCAGCGGGACCCGAAGAGCCAGCCACACCGCCCTCGCCCACATTTCTTCCCTTTTCGGCCCCCGTAGTGCGCCCAAATGAACTGCCCAGCGACACGTTTAAGAGTGATGACATCAGAGTGCGCCTCCGTCGCCTCCGCCATAGCCATGAACAGCGTCGGGGAGGCTTGCACCGACATGAAGCGCGAGTACGACCAGTGCTTCAATCGCTGGTTTGCCGAAAAGTTCCTCAAGGGAGACGGCTCCGGGGACCCGTGCACCGACCTCTTCAAGCGCTACCAGCAGTGCGTGCAGGTGAGCCGCACCCGAGTCCTGGTCTACCCCTAGGCCCCGCGTTCTCCGCTGTGTCCCCAGCCACAAGCCTCGCGTCTGACGGACGTTGGCATCAGGAGGGTGGAAGAAAGCCGCAGTGAGGCCGGTGGCAGCAGCCCTCTCCCCTACCATCACCACTGAGTCCCCCGAATGTCTCTCCGGTTCAACGTTTTTGCAATGCTTTACTTTTTACGGAGCACAGTACATTCGTTGGTTCATTTTTTAGGTGCTCTTCCTGAACTTGCAAAATGGCCACAGTTATCTGTATTTTATATGTGGGAAACTAACACTCAGAAGCGTAAATTAATTGGCTTAAGTTCACTAGTACTAGGTTTCCGTGATTCTTTTGCCCGTGGCGCACCTTTCCACTGTTGCTGTAGGGTGGGCCAGGTGGTTACCGTCTTCTGGCCTGTTCCACACTATGGAGGATCCCGTTGTTTTCGTATAATTCCTTCCTTGGCCTGTTTTTCGGACCGGTTACTAACTAGAGCTAATAAAGCTTCATTCTTGCGCAAGGGGCGTATAAGTGCTCTGCATTGTAAAAAACAGCCCTGGGAAAAGCATTTCCCTAAGTTAACCTAAAATATCCTTCTGTTATTCCACCAGGGAGTTGCTGCCTTTACCTATTTTCAGATGAGGACAGTGAGGCTGGCAAAGCCAGTAAGCCCTGGAATCCAGATTTGAACTCATGTCTATCACTAAAATAGTGGGGATGGCATTTGTCAGATTTCACTTCTGAATTTTGAATTTTAACGGTTCCCTTCGCAACTCCTTTTGAATCTCTCTGTTCTTACACTTACTTTCTTTATAATGGTAATGTTAAAAAAGTATGTCATTTGAATCTTGGGTTGTGAGTCTATGTAGTTCATTCTTTTTTTTTTTTTAATGTTTATTTTCTAGTTGTAGTTGGACAGGATACCTCTATTTCATTTATTTTTATGTGGTGCTGAGAATCGAATTTGGGGCCTCACACATGCTAGGCAAAAGCTCCACCACTGAGCCACAACCCCAGCCCCTATGTAGTTCATTCTGATTTTACCTTTGTGGCAACACATTTTATTTACAAAGTTTTGATTTTAAGTTTCCTATACAACTTTATAATGTATTTTCTTTTTTCCATCAGAAAGCAATAAAAGAGAAAGAGATTCCTATTGAAGGACTGGAGTTCATGGGCCACGGCAAAGAAAAGCCTGAAAACTCTTCTTGATATTAACTGTCACCTTGAAAATGGATTCCTATATCAGGAAATTGAGGACTCTGGATTTTGTCAACTAAGGCTGTGAAGATAGCTGTAGGATTCAATTAATATAGGAGGAAATTGTTTCATTTCTTCTCTATTGATGTTTTCCTCTCACTTGTAAAAGATGATGAACCACCACTCTGCTTTGAGATGATTTCTCACTTGATCTGGCATCTTCCAGAACCTCAGTGGGCTAAAACTGAACAGTTTCTTGGGATTATGGTTGCAATACCTGGTCTGAAATCAGCTTTAAATATATCTTGTATATAAATTATTGATAAACTAGTCAAGATGAGCAGGGTTGCCTGACTTCTTGGTTTTGCTGCAAAGGACATTAGGTACATTGTACTGGGGTCGTTGTTCATGAAAACAATTGGTTAGGACTTCTTTCTTCTCTCAGGGAGCTAATGCTTTAAAAAAGGGATCCAGACACAACAGTTTCATCCAGTTTATTTTTGTAACAGTTGAAAAAGATTGCTGGTGGCCTGGGTAAGCAAAGAGGAAGACATTCTTTAACAGTTCCCTGCCTTAATAAGAGGTGTCCAATTAAGACATGAAAGCTTCAAGAATGTTAAAATGAACACCATTTCAGAGCTCACAGCATAGTTCTGGAATTACGTTACTTGGAGTTGCTATGGCAAAAGAATCCAAACTACAAAAATTTGTTATTGCCAGTTATCAACCCAAGTTAATGAATTAAGTCAACCTGCGTATCATAAAAATGTCAAAATGCTGCATCTGGTTAAATGGAGGGGAAAGGTGCTTTCTTCATTTGCCTTGTTTGCCCACCCTGCCCTATATATAATGTCTGTAATCATGATGATGAAATAAATTTTAACATTTAGTTTTTATCATTATTTGCCCCTGGAATTCAAGTGTACTTTATGGAATACCTTTTACTTTGTTACCCTACATAATCTCATATATACACTGAAGAGAGGTTTGTGCTTTATAATTTAAAGCTGAAGAAAAAAATGAGAATTAGCTGGTGTGGTGGCACAGCCTATAATCCCAGTTACTTGGGAGGCTGAGGTGAGAAGTTTGCAAATTTGAGGCCAGATTGGGCAACTTAGTGAAACACTAATCTTAATTAAAAATTTTTAAAAAGGGCTGGGTGCAGTGGTGCACACCTATAATCCCAGCAGCTTGGGAGACTGAAGCAGGAGGATCGTGAATTCAAAGCCAACCTCAGCAAAAGCAAGGCTCTAAGCAACTCAGTGAGACCTTATCTCTAAATAAAATAAAAAAAACAGGGCTGGTGATGTAGCTCAGTGGTAGAGCATTTGCCTAGCATGTATGAGGCCCTGGGTGGAATTTCACAATTCTGAAAAAAAGAAAAAGTGAAGATTTGTCTAACTTAGGTAATATGGTGTAGAACCGTGTAGAGGTGAGGTATAGAAACCTCACTTTTTCCTAAAATTTATATCATAGTAGTCTACACAAAATTTTCTTATTTTTGGTACTGAAGATTGAAACCAGGGGTACTTAACTTCTGAACCACATCCCTAACCCTATTTTGAGACAAAGTCTGCTAAATTGCTTAGGGCCTTGCTCAGTTGCTTAGGCTGGTATTGAATTTGTGATCCTGCTGAAAAAGGATCCAACTCAGCCTCCTGAGATGCTGGAATTACAGGTATATACCACCATACCCCACCACACTTTCTTAAAATAAATTTGTATTTCATTACCAGAAAATGTCAGGAACAGATGATTATTTACGTACTCTAGAAAGTAATGTAATCCCCACAAATACCTATCTTGAAGAATTTGGTTTATTATTATGTGCCCAAAGATAGTATGAAGTTGATTTTCAGAAGGCCTAAATTCTGTTTTTTTCTCCACTTGACCAATTAGAACTTCATATTTAATGTGACTGGCCCTTAATGTCATTTCAAAACATATTATAGAAAAAATAGAAAGGACTGGGGATGTAGCCCAGTGAAGTGCCCCTGGGTTCAATCCTTAGTACCACTAAATGTATGTATGTATGTGTATACATATATATGTATGTGTATGTATCTATCTATATTGGATATATACATACATGTTTATTTATTTGTTACTCAGTTAAGGAAAGCCTGACAGCAAGCTGAAATTAAGTACTATTAAGTACTTCTATCCTAAATTCAGACTGGCTACTAACACAACAGCTTTGTAAGAACTGAGTGCAGCCAAGTGTGGTGGTGCATTATCTGTAATCCCAGTGGCTTAGGAGGCAGAGGCAGGAAAATCGTGAATTCAAAGCCAGCCTCAGCAATTTAGCGAGGAGCTAAGCAACTCAGTGAGACCCTGTCTCTAAATAAAATTCAAAATAGGGCTGGGGATTTGGCTCAATGGTTGAGTGCCCTGAGTTCAATCCCCAATACCAAAAAAAAAAAAAAAAAAAAAAAGGAACTGAGTGCAAGATGGTATATCACAAAATGCAAATATGATTCCTTTTTTTCTTTTTTGCAGTACTGGGGATTGAATCCAGTGGTGTTGTAATACTGAACTATATCTCCAGTCTTTTTATTTTTCATTTTGATACAGGGTTCACACTAAGCAGCCTAGACTGGCCTCAAACTTGCAATCAATCCTGTCTCAGCATCCTGAGTAGCTGGGATTACAGGTATTCGCCACAGCATATATTATCACTGATTGCCAAAACAGATCTGTTAAGAATTCTTTGCTGGGTGTAGTGGCACACACCTGTAATCCTAGTGAATAGGAGACTGAGGCAGGTGAATCACAAGTTTGAAGCCAACCTCAGCAGATTTAGTGAGCCCTAAGCAACTTGGGGAGACCCTGTCCCAAAAAAATTACAGGGCTGGGGGTATGGCTCAGTGACAAGGCACCCTGGGTTCAATTCCCAGTACCAAAAACAAGCAAACAAAAACCAAAACAATCCTTCAAGTTGCATGTGCCAATAGTTCCATCCACTGGGGTGCTGAGGCAGAACTGTTTAAGCCTAGGAGCTTGAGACCAGCCTGGGCAACATAGCAAGATCCCATCTCAAGAAACTTCTTTGATGTATATTTAAAAGCTTATCATATTCAAATTATTGTTAAGTCTAAAATATCCCCATATTAATAGCTTTCTTGCTTCATGGACACATTCTGGCAAAAGGAATATTTAAATTGCTACTCAAAAAATAATTCTGACTGTTCCTTATCCTATTTTGACTTCATCTTCTCCAGATGTGACTCTAACTACCTCAGCTACTTTAAAAGTTTTCAATTTTGATGATAAATTCATCACCCTTTCAAGGCAATTTTGTAACTATTACTATTTCTAATTCTTTTTTAAAAATATATATTTTAGTTGTGGATGGACATGTTTGTTTTACTTATTTTTATGTGGTGCTGAGAATCAAACCCAGTGCCTCATACATGCTAGGCTAGTGCTACACCACTGAGCTACAGCCCCAGCCCTGTTTCTCCTCATTCTTAATGGTTATGGGATCATTTTGATTTCAGAAATAAATAAAGCCAAGACTACCAAGCAGAAATGTGTCCCACTGACTGTATTTCTAAAGGTTTCTGGCCTTTCCAACCTTGAAGATGCTAAATCTTAACCCCAAGATGAAAACAACTCCTCTGAAGAAAATTTTCCAACCATGCAGAGGATTCTGCACCAAATGCTTTGGACTAGGACATGAGAAAGCTGAAACCCAGAGGAAGCACCTCCTACTGAATCACAGGTATCTCAAGTATAAACTGCAGTCAATCTGCTGGCCATTAAATGTCTTGGCACCCCCAGTCTGTCAGGAACCTCTCTTAATACTTCATTAGCTCTGGTGCTCTGTACACTGGTCCCTTGGCTTTATCTACCCTAGGCACAAGAAACCAAGAATCTGTTATAGTTATTTAGTGAGGTGAACTGGATCTTAAATACTATCAAAAGCAGACATAGACCTTCACTGCAGAAACAGAAATAACAATAATGTTAATTTCTAAGAAAAAATAAAGAATGTACTTTCACTCAAGGCAATTTAAGTTTAAGTTATTTATTTAAGCCATCTCCTGCCTCAAAAGGATGGAAAATCAGTATAATGGTCATCAATTGATGAATGTAAGGTGAACTTAAGGTCCCATATACTTTTCTGGTCTTCATGCAGAGTAATGGTCCAAACCAGTGCTGTGGTCCCCAGTGCCTGAGTAATGGTCCAGATGCTCTATTCATCTTCATAGCCAGTTGGAAGTGGATTCACATGAGGATTATGGAATAGAGTATGGTTACCATCTCCCCAGGGGAAGGGCTGTGAAATGAAGATGTCAATTAGATACGTCCAGAGAACAGTTCAGAAAGAATACTGCCATGAACTACTTAGAACACGGTAACATACAAAAAGCAAAAGAAAAATGGAAAGTAAGTCCTTTATTAGCATATTTCAACATTCCCATAATTTAAGAGAGCTCCTATAATGACCGTGGGGGGGAGGGGTCTTTTTTTTTTTTTTTTTCAGTACCAGGGATTAAACTCAGGGGTGTTTTACCACTGGGCCATATTCCCAGGCCTTTTAAATTTTTTTATTTTGAGACAGTCTCACTAAATTGCTCAGGCTGGCCTCTAACCAACTTGAGATCATCCTGCCTCAGCCTCCCAAGTAGCTGGGATTGTAAGTGTGCACCATCACACCTGGCCCAGGGGCCATTCTTAAAATAGACAATAGAAAAAGAGTGCTCAAGTTAGTTGTTACAAGACTCTCCCTGGTAACTAGTATATCCAGTGCTAGATTTTTTTTTTTTTTAAGTATTTATTTTTTAGTTGTAGTTGGACACAATATCTTTATTTTATTTATTTTTATGTGGTGCTGAGGATCGAACCCAGGGCCTCACACGTGCTAGGTGAGCACTCTATCGCTGAGCCACAATCCCACTCCTCCAGTGCTAGATTTGTGAAAGTGTAATCTTTAAACCTGGCATGGTAATGCATGCCTATAATCCCCCAACTACTAAGGAGTTGGAGAAAGGAAGTTTTGTTCGTTGTTGTTATTTTATGGGGGGGGTGGAGGGAGAACCCAGGAGCCCCTTTATTTTTTAATTTTGAGACATGGCTTCACTAAATTGCTGAGTCTGGCATCAAACTTGCAATGCTCTTGCCTCAGCCTCCCAAGTGTCTAGGATTACAAGCATATATCAGTGGAATCAGAAGATTTCTTGAGCCCATGAGTTTGAGAACAGCCTGGGTTATGCAGTGAGACCCTGTCTTGGGTGAGGAGGAAAAAAGTCAGGTTGGGATATAACTCAGTGGTAGAGCACTTAAATAGTATGTGTGAGGCCTTGGGTTCCTTCCCAGTATTGCAGAAAAGCAAAGAAAGAAAAAGTGTAGTTCTCAAATTGCCTGTATCAGAATGGTACAGTGGAGGAGATACTTATTTAAATAAGATTTTAGGCTCTATCCCAGACCTAAAACACTCTCTGGACTGGGAAACTACAAACCACCCTCAATTACTTTGCTCACCACATTTGAAAAGCATGACTCTAGAGCAATGGTTTCCAGCCCAGGGTGGTTTTTGCCCCTCCAGGGTACACGGGGTAGTATTTGGAGACATTGGGGGATGAACAGTACTGCCATCTAGTGGATAGTGCCCAAGGATGATGTTAAACAAATGACTGCCATAGTTGAATAGCCAAAGGGAAAACAAGATAGGTATTGTAGGGGGTAGAGGAAGCTATCAGTCTCTTTATTATGAAGGTAGCACCTGGCAGATGCTCAGATTTTAGAAAGCTGAGCTATGTTCAGACCTTGCCACTCCATAAAGGTTTCCCAAATCTCCCAAGTTTTATGCAACAAACAGCTGTTTCATAGAACTACAGAACGCAAAACGTTGGATGCATCAGAAAAAAGGAAACCTGAAGGGCACTCACAGTTATGACCTTGGAAACAAATGACATGACCCCAAACAGTTTCCCTTCCATGAAATGGGAGCATATAAGTATTCTGATTGCGAGAATTAGACGAAAAACTGTACACGCCAGGCACCCACGCTTTTAGAGCATAAAGAACTTGTACTAGGGCACACGCAATGAAAAGAGAACGGACAACTGCAAGGGCGTACCTTGGTTCTGATGCGGAGATGGGGATAGGCGATGAACTCGGGTCTCTCGTGCTCTCCGTGGTGCGATTTGAGGAAAACATTCAGCATGCTCACTCCCACCCCCGGGAGCGCCACGAAGTAAGTAAGGGCCCTCCACATGCGAGCTGCAAAGGGGTCACAACCGCTGAGCCCTGGCAAACCTGCCCGGATATCATTCTCCCTCCCCCAAGGTCACAGTCCCGCCCCGCGACGGTAGTGTGGGGATGCGGCACGTCCCGCCGACCCCAACCCCAGTACCTGAGCCCTCTTCGCCGTGGGCGCCACTCGACATAGGCCGCCCCACCTGTGGGAGAGACCGACCCAGCAGTCTAGAAAGGCGGGACGCAGATACAGCCGCCGCCACCATTTTGACCAGGACTACCAGAGAGCCGGAAGCGGAAGAGGAAAAGAGCCTTGAGGGCGGGACCAAGACCTAAAACACAAGTTCCTATTGGACGACACCTCTCAATGGCATTAACCGAGCCCGAGGACCCTGCGCGCTATCATCCCCACGAAGGAGTACCTTGTCAAAATCCTCCGAGTCGCCGAGTCCAACAGAGCATGCGCTCTGCCGATTCCTCTAGGATGCGCCCTCTCTTCGAACGCATGCGTGTTCCCTCCAGTCTCCTTGCGGTCCCACCTTGGGAACGCAGAAGGGAAGTTCGAACGCGGCTCCCGCACTCTCTGGTCGCTGTCTTAGTGGAAGTCCATGGACAGCAACTGGAAGTTCCAAGCGCAGACCACCGTGTCCAAAATGCCATTCCTCTTCCTCGCCTTCTTCTGACGGCGTTTTTTTTTTGTTTTTTTTTTTTTAATGGCATCTGACACCATCATCACTGTCATCGTTATCCCAGTGTTTTCTCTGAGTCCCCCCCCCCACTGGAATATAAATTCTGTGCTATCAAGCGTTTGCCGTTGCAGCACTCTCAGAATTCTATCTGGAAATGGTATGATTTGGAATCGTGCCTGGCACATAGCAGGTGCTTAATACAATTTATAGCAATCGAAACCAGAATTGGTACCAGAAAATCTGGATTCTAATCTCGGCTCAACATCCTCAACTTTTGGACTCTGGTCACGCTGGCTTTCTCTCCCTTAAAATTCTAGAAATAAAAATTGTAGAGGCAATTTTTTTTTTCTTCTCATCTTTTTATTTTTTCTTTTTTCTTCCTTCTACATGTCTAAAAACACTTTGAAAAAGAAAAGAAGGGCTGGGGGTGTAGCTCATTGGTACAGCACCTGCCTAGAATTCTCCACTTCAATCCCAAGTACCTCAAAAAATTTTTTTTAATATTTATTTTTTAGGTGTAGATGGACATAACACAAGGCCTTTATTTTTATGTGGTGCTGAGGATCGAACCCAGGTCCCGCCTGCGCTAGACAAGAGCTCTACTGCTGAGCCACAATCCCAGCCTCGCCTCAAAAATTTTAATAAATAAAATAATGAAAGTTTAAAAATATATGTATAGGGGCTGGGGATGTGCCTCAGTGGCAAAGCACTGGCCAAACATGGGAGTGGAGTTGGGTTGGACCCCCCCACACACTAAAATACACACACACGTATGATGAATGCAAACTTTTTTAAAATTGTTTTTAGTTGTAGTTGGACACATACCTTTATTTTGTCTTATTTATGTATGTGGTCCTGAGGATCGAACCCAGCACCTCGCACGTGCTAGGTGAGCGCTCTACTGCTCAGCCACAACCCCAGCCTGAATGCAAACTTTTTGATTGTAGGCTACTTTAGGGATGAAATGAAAGCTTTGAAGCATTTTCACACACACACACACACACACACAAAAAAAAAAAAAAAACTCACCTGTGAGCTAGGTAAGGTGCTTGTGTAGCATGTCCAAGGCCCTGGATTCAATCCCCAATATCAAAAAAATAAAATAATTTTTAAAAAAATTTACCTGCATTGAAGTACACACAGTTTTAGCAAGATTGGGGGAAGATCTAGAAGTCTTCTAGGAGTATTTGTGCTTCAGATTAATAACCCTTGGGGTAAGAGACACACAGGAACCCTTAGTGTTTAAAGACTGAGCTCACATCTTCTCCATTACAGCCTATATGATCACCTGGGGGCAAGTTAGATGAAACGAATGCTTTCACGTCATGCAGTTCCATGAACACGAACATTTAAGATCATATTACTAGAGCTTTACTATCTGACCCAGAATTATATCTTTCTAAGTTTCATGGTGTGATCAGGATCATCAACTCCCCAGGTATCGTTAAACCCAAACAGTGTTTGATACGATAACCAGGGCATAACCATAGGTAGGGGGCCAAGCTCAGGGATCAGGAAATCGAGGTTGATCTAGGTTGAATCCCTGATCTGTCAGCTGCCAACTAGATTTCCTCTTTAAAACAAGACTGTAGGGGCTGGGGTTGTGGCTCAGCGGTAGAGCACTCACCTAGCATGCGTGAGGCCCTGGGTTCGGTCCTCAGCACCACATAAAACTAAATAAACAAAATAAAGGTATTATGTCTAACCAAAAAGTAAATATTAAAAAAAAAAAACAAGACAAGACTGTAATACGCATTCCTTCACCCAACAGATATTTTTCAAAACCCAGCTTCACCCAGTGCAGTAGTGCACACCTGTAATACCATTAACTATGGAAACTGAGGCAGGAGAATGGCACCTTCAAGATCCGCATGAGCAACTTAAAAAAAAACTCTACCTTGGGAAGTTACTCAACTGTAATAATGAGGGTGCTCATTTAATATTAACTAAAATGTCAATTATGTGATAGGTGTACACAGTAGTCGACAAGAGCTGTTATCACTCTCTCACATGCAGCTTGCATTCTAGTCGGGAAGATGGGATTAAACAAAAATATCCATTGCCTGGAATGTGTTATAAATTCAACAAATGGGCTGGAAATGTATCTGGGTGGTAGAGCACCTGCCCAGCATGCACCAGGCTTCTAGGTTCTATCCTGAGCACTTCCAGAAAAGATCAACAAATGTTCATTCTCTCACAGGACTTTCTTACACCTTGCAGAGTGGCACACTGCTAAGTAAAGATTCTGCCTATCACATGCTGGAAGACACAGTACATACTCAGGCATGATAGGTATGATGTTATTGACAGGTATACTCAGCATTTGCAAAGCCTTGGATGACCAAATTTAGCCAGCCCAGAAAACCAAAATCATCAATATGAAAAAATATGAATATTTATTGAGGACTTATTGTGTGCCCAAATCTGTGCTAAGCAGTTTGTGGAAATTATCTTCCCCACGTCAGGAAACCACCACTTCTTTCAGGTCAAAAACGACCCCCCACCACACACACACACACACACACAAAATACATACACACCACAAATACAATTTCATATCTAATCCATCAATAAATCCCGCCAACTCTTCCTTCAGCTATACACAGAATCTGACCACTTACCATCCACTGCTGCTCATTTAGTCAAAGGTATTCTCATCTCCCACCTGGACAATTGCAACAACCTCCTGATATCCCTGCTGCCCCATCCCCCGGTGATCTGTTCTCTACATCAAAGTCAGAGGAATCCTTTAAGTCAAGTCACCTATCTCCTCTCCTCATCGTCCTCAATGGCTCCCATTTCCCTCAGAGTAAACAATAAATACGTAATGTGAGCTACCAGGGTCTACCTAACCTGAGCCTAATCATCTCTCTGACATCCCTCCGATCTCCACCACCTGCTGTCTAAATATTTCTAACTACATTGGCCCTTTTGCCTTTCCTTGAACATATCAGGCATGCTCTTGCCTCAGGACTTCTGCATGTGTTTATTTCTCTGCCTGACACAGTTTTCTCCCCAGATAGCCTAGTGAATTACTCTCTTACTGCACTCAGGTCTCTGCTTAAAATTCATCTTACCGAGAGACCTTCCCTGGTGGAAGAGAAATAGCCCCTCCTGACTCTGACACTCTATCCGCCTTGCGGTGCTGTATCCATCTTCATCACACTCACCACCATCTGCTATATTAAATATTCATGGAATTATTGTCTGTCTTCCTCCACCAAACACCACAGGGGCGGGGATTCAGTTTTGTGCACTGGCACATGCCACATGATAGGCACTCACTGAGTATATATTAATACCAACCATGGTAGATACTGTTCTCCCCATTTTTTTCAAATAATAAAACTGAGACCCGAGATGTGCAGGAAAGTGCCCAAGGTCACACAGACTTAGGCAAGTGGCAGACCTAGGCAGTTAAGCACTCCTGATATTTCTCTTAGCCTCTTAGCCATACAGGGTTTGGTTTAGAAATAAACCAACTCCAAGAGGTCACCCTATCTAGCTCATGCTGATCTGATGCTCTAAATAGGAGTCAGTGAGAAAAAGAACGACTGTTGGGTCTGGGGTTGGGGCTCAGTGGCAGAGCGCTTGCCTTGCATGTGTGAGGTACTGGGTTCGATCCTCAATACCACATATAAATAAATAAAAAATAAAGGTACATCAACAACTAAAAAAAAAAAAAGAAAAAAAGAAAAGAACAACTGTTAATTTCTGTCTCCATGACTGAATGGAGAATAGTGGTTACTAGAGGTTGGGAAGGATGTGTGTTTGGTGGGGAAGGTGGATAAATGGAGTTCTGATTGAATCAGCATATGCTGTCTGCACATGTGGAAATATCTCGCTGATCCCTATTAATATACACAATTAATACAAGTTGATAAAAATAAAATGATTTAGAAATTTCTGTTCTTGGGGTGCTGAGGTGGCAGATCTGCATGTGCTCCCTCTCACGGAGACATGCCACCCAGTCTCCCCAGGACACCCAGCCTCTCTGTGTAAGGAGCTTCTCCAAGGCCATAAGCAGCCAGGCCAGGATTTGACGTCATCCTCTCTGGCAGCTGGTGATGTTTACACTCAGGCTGAGGCCACTCAGGCTGTCTCTGATGCCCTAGTTCCTTGAAACAGGAAGGTGATAGTGAACACCTCCATGCTGGGGCAGCCGCTGGTGGTGGACGGTGATGCTGGGGTGAGGCAGGAGGGGCTTCCCAGCCAAGGACAGGACTTACTTAAGAGGAAATTTTTCTGGGACATCCCACATGCTCCTTCTATTCTGGTTTCTCCCAGCTAAGAGCACCTTTCATTCCTGATCCAATAAACATTTGTCCACCAAGCAACTAATCCTGGGAGAAGGAGCTGGCACTGAAGCATATTTCCAGCAGGCTTCAGGAGAACCAGGGAATTGTGCCCACTACCTCCACCCTCTCCATACCTTGACCGAACTGCTCAGTGTCTTTAATTCATAACAATTAGGGTCTCAACTGTGTGCCTGGACTTGGGACACAGCAGTGGCATTTGTGGAATAGGTGGGTTTTTTTCTTTCTTTCTTTCTTTTTAATACCTGGGATTGAACCCAGGGGCGCTTACCTCAGTCCTCCTTTTATATTTTATTTAGAGGTAGTGTCTTT